TTCATGCAACCATCTATTGATTGAATTTGATTCTGCCAATGATATCCTTTCATCATGTGCGTGAGAGAAGTCCACACCTTGGTAAGTCACCCCTTCTCCCTCAACATTGGAACACCGACAACTGCTCACCTCAAATTTTGCAGCCCCCGTATCGAGGATTGTTTTGACATCTTTGGCTACCTCTGGATCTGCATTAACAAAAACAACCAAGCCAGGAAGACCAGGAAAAAAACGGCGTGGAACAGAACGGAGGTGAGAAACAACCAAATGGGACCAGAAGGAACCAGAAGGGGCCCAATAAAATGAAAAGGAGACAAATTGAACAGAACAGATTGTAACCCCATAAGATAGGACAGGGAGGACCAGAAACCAACCAAGTCAACCAGACCAGGAGAAAACGGCATGGAAGTTGGAACAGATTGGAGGGCAAAGACAGCCAAATGGGACCAGAAGGAACCAGAAGGGGCCCAATAAAATGAAAAGGAGACAAACGGAACATGACAGTATGGTAAAGAAAAGGCGAAAAACGGTGGAGCACAGAATGAGGACTCAGAATATGGAACAAAGCGGGATAGGACAGATCTTGATCGGACAACATGGAGCACATGGAAGCGGAAAGAACGACGGAAGGAGACCGCACATTTTCCAAAGGGAAGGGAAGGGACGGGATGCGATGGGACAGGAAGGGACGAGACAGGACGGGACAGGATGGGACGGAACGGGACAGGACGGGACGGGACGGGACAGGACGGGAAGGGAGCAGAGCAGAGCAGAGCAGAACAGACCACGGCAGAAAACAGAGCAGAACAGGATGAAGTAAAATGAGCCCAAAGAAAAATGGAGAGAGTGATCACGAAGGAAAAACGTTGCCGTTTGCTGGAACAACTACATACTTGTTCCTACTTGGGTTTCAGTTTTTTTTTTTTTTTCCCCTCCCATTTTTTCTGCATGGTGGCCACCATGCTAATCTTGTCTGTATCGTTCCAATTTTCACGGATGTCCCAAAGGACGCTTGGGTTTCAGCTTTCAAGTGCTCTGAAGGCATAGTAGGATACCCAAAACGGTTGGCTGGTCCTTCGGGACATCCGTTGAAATTGGAACGATACACAGACAATTAGCATGGCCCCTGCGCAAGAATGACACGCATAAATCGAGAAATGGTCCAAATTTTTAATTAAAATAAAAATAAAAATGGTTGGCTGCCGTGTGCCTGTGTATATTGTAGACCCATCTGGACCCCCACCAGATACTCGGGCAGCTCAGACTGCGTCTGAATGCCTGGATCGGATCCAGATTCTGGATATCATCACTCAGAGTCATAGACAAAGTCTCACACACTTGAGAGAGGGTCACACATAAAGTAGAAAACTGAGTGAAAATTAAACAATAAACCCGTTGCCGGCTATGGCACGCTCACTCTAAACCCAGTACGTAGTCTCCAGGCAAGTCCACGTGCATGGTCCCAAGATTCTGGCTATCATCACTCATATACAAAGTCGCAGACACTTGAGAGAGGGTCACACAGAGAGCAGAAAACTCAAATGAAAATTAAACAATAAACGCGTTACCGGGTATGACACACTCATTTAATATTCAATCCCGACAGCTCCAAACGTCCAGAGTTCGAAACCCGCTATGGTCCAGCCGTCAGGATGATAGCCATGACAAAATGCAATACAACAACGCGGCAGAATTGCTGTTTTTTGCTTTTAGGGGCAACTTCAGTACAGTCACAAAAACAGCTACACATCTGGCATTCCCCCCGAACATAACACACCCCCACGCAACCCTCCCTGACTGGAAAGCTAGGTTGTAATACCGCTGTACACATTTTTGCATTTCAAAAAAGATGGGCAACGTCTCCGGTATGATCCGGGCACTCCGGCCAGGTTCATACCAGGGTTTATACAAACCGGAAAACGGGTCCAGCGTCGAGACTGAAGCAAGCACAGCACCAGCAAGCATTGGCCCAAGTGCAATTTGAAACTGCATTTTGCCCAAACTGTATTCTCAAACTCTTTTTTGTGGCTCCCATCATGAGTCCCATGTAGTTTCCCCATCCTTTTATTTTCTTTTGGTTCCATGAGAATCTGAGTGTGTACATTATGTATCTCAATTTTTTTTACTTTTTTATTTTTATTTTTAAAGGCTAATTTCTTAAGCCCAACCAATTCAATTACCTGTCGAATCTGGACAGCACGGCCTTTCAGGCCTTTTTTATTGTCATTATAGTATTACGGGGAATTGACTTGCCGGGGGAAAAGCAACCAAACTGACACTCCCCAGAATGGACAAGGAGCCAGGACCATAAGGAGCTCAAAAAAAAAAAAAAAAAAAAGAATCTGGCTGTTGTACTCGCACAAGGGCTTGTTTACTTATTTATGGACGCGATTGCGGCCAGATGCATCCAGGTCTGGCAGTAATTGGAGTTGGATGCATTTTCGAAAGTGCCAATGTGAGTATGCCCTGAGTCCTTCCACACAACCGTACAGGGCTTGGTGACTGTGCTGAGCTTCCTTCCCTAAAGCTGAATTTGCGCCACTTGCACCACTAAAGCACCCACCCAGTACCCCGGGGGTCTTAGGCCCCCTCTGGGGAGGCTCTGACACAAATGCATATGGACCCAAGCGGGGCACCGATTCAGCCACCTAAACGCGTGGAGGTGCTGGTGGTTTAACGAGACAAAAATACAGCAAATACCTTTCTACGCCTTTTGGCTCAGATCAGGTCCACTGTATCTATTCAGAGCAGTTTAATATTTTTTTTTTTGGGGGGGGGGAGGAAAGTAAGGAATCCATTATCATGAAACATGAGGCCGGGAATTCCTCACAAGCAACCCGGAAAAAAACTGTCACATGTGGGACCATTACCCAGGGTAGGTATGTGGGTTTTACCCCAACAACACTTGGCAAGCCTTGAAAACAAAGGCCGGCAGGCCTAAGCCGTCCATCAGACCACATGAAATTAAAAAAAAGAAAAACGAAAAAAGACGAGACAATACAACAGTTCCTGCACAGTCTACTCAAACAACAACTATAGTGTAAAAACTTGTTAAAAATTGTAATGACACGCCATAACACAGACTGAGAACACTGCTGATTTCTGAAGTTCTGCCGATGGCATGGATGCCTCGCCGAGATTCTCGCATTCTGCTGAGTTTTCTAAGTCTGTATGTGTGCGTGCTTGTTGTCGGTATGAGTGTGTGTGTGACCCGCAAGGGTACTTGCTTGTTTGGCTGGCCCGTAGGGCTGGTACTTACCTGTGGCCGTGGCATTGAGTAGCGGAGCCAGGGGCCCGCGGTGCTCAGAGCAGCGGAAAAACACTCAAGTAGCAGGTAGGCCGGTACCGCACCCAGTAGCAGTAGATGTGCCGGGTACTCCCGAGCAGAAGAAGACAAAGTTGGCATTTTTAGAGGCCCAGTAGCGGTGGGCTAGGTCTAGGCCGGTACCAGTCCATCCAGTCCGAGTCTAGAGCCTGTATGGGCAATATCAGAGTCTGCAACGATGTTTCCCTCCGAAAGGGAGGAGGTACCGGTTGCTTGGGAAGCCGAGCGGCCTGGAAGTCACCGCCCAGGAGGCAAGCAGGCCGCTATATCAAGAGGCCGAGGGAAGAGCTCGGCCTCGTTCTTCAGTGTGCGAGTTGGGCGTCACGCTGTCGGAGCGTTGGTTGGAAGAGCGCTGGCTGCTACAGCGCTGCTGGGAGGAAGAAGCCAGGAGCTTCCACCTTGGCTATGGTGGAGCTCTACCGGTAGGAGGAGGAGGGAGAAGGGGACCAAGGAGGAGAGTGGCGAGGTACTTACCTGGTTATAGTGGAAACCATCTTCATCACCTTGTTAGGCACTGCATCTGGAAGGCCCCAGTTGGGGTAGTGCCGCACCAAGGAAGCTCGGGGCAGAGACAGGCATGGCGGCCTAGCGAGCAGCGGCATAGCTGCTTTGCATTGTCCTTTGCACAGGGAGGCCGCGACATAGCTGCTTTGGGTTGTCCTTTGGACAGGAGGGTTGAGCCCTCAGCACTCCGCCATAGCCTTGGCCTACATGTGAGAGGAAGGAAAAGGGTGGCCATGGCTATGGTGGACCTCATGTTGTGCCTGCAGTAGAAGTGGGATTCGGACATTGCTTCTGGTTCAGCCATTCAACATTATTATTGTTATTTCTTGTTTGAATAAGAGGGGAGGAGATAAGGAGAAGGAGATTGGTTGGCGAAGAAGAAGA